GAGAGAGAGAGAGAGAGAGAGAGAGAGAGAGAGAGAGAGAGAGAGAGAAGGCAAGTATTTGTGGAAAGAGGCATGGGGACTGGACTCTGTGAGAGTCGTCAGATCAAGCATGGTGGAACGATGAAGTTAGGAGGGAGGAGATGCTCGTTGTTGTTGTTGTTGTTGTTGTTTTTTTTTTTTTTTTTTTTTAGGAGATGCTCGTTTTACGGAAAGTGGGTAGATTTTTTATTTTTTTTTGGAACGTTGGGTGTGGAGGAATGGACTGTTTCTCCCAAAATGTATCCAAGACTTTCTATCAGCTGAACAGTGCCAGGTGGCAGGGCTCATAGAAGATCTGGAGGAAGGCCCTTTCTGTGGTTTTACTTGGGGATGGTTCGAAAATGTCCTTCTACTGTTTTTAACTGGAAAAGGGCTGGTTCCAAAAAGTCCATTTACTATTTTTAACTGAAAACTCAAATGTTCCAGAGGTGACTTTTCTTTTATCTCTACCTTGTCAAATTGCTGAACCTGATGGGCACTTTTCATCTTGCTGTTTTCTCTCGTTTTCCTTTTTTTTTTTTTTTCCCTTTCCTCCATTCATGAAAAGGGCGATAGCCTCGAGATATTATTGTCGAACTGAATCCCAGCCCCAGGTAATTCAGAAGTTTTCTACTTTCATTCGGATTCGAACACAGGTCTGTATTTCAACAGCTCATGAGTGTACCAACTGAGCTAGCCCCGTTGTATGTATTCGAGAAACCGGAAAACTGAAATATTCCAAAACCACTAATAAATTAATAATGAGTCTAATTATATTTATTTACCACCTCTCAATGATATATCCTCGTGGCGTTTTGCTGCACAGTACAAGCAGCACAAGTAGCAGGGTGCAACCGGACCGGCGCTACCATCAGGTTAGTATGGTGAATGTGTTAATAAGGGTATCCGATATTGTTGTGTGGAACATCTTTTTGCGTGGTTTGATATATATATACCTATATATATGTATATGTATGTGTATGTGCATACGGATCACTGGGCGGTTCCATATGACGATGTATAAGCCTGCTATAAGGGTTGAGCCTCGTGATGAGTCGGTGAAACTCCGACGAAACAGTCTGTCACAGCCCGTTGTTTTGTTGTTCTCTTCTCCCTCTCTGCCTACAGTTTGAAATGCCGATGAATAACAGTCTGTCGCAGCCCCTCGTTTGTTGTGCTCTTTGTCCTCTTCTCCCTCTCTGCGTGCGGTTTACCGTGCAGTTCTGTTTGACGATATGTACTTGTCCGTGATCTCCTGTGTTGGCTATTCTGTATGTGGTGGTGCATTGCTGCTTTCTTCGTTGGGATAGCAAACAGGTTGACTTGATTTCGGCCTCATGTTTGTAACTTTGCGCATGCACGGGACTCTTGTGTGTTGGATTTTCCTGCTCTTTTCAGTTTTGGCCTCGGACCCATTTATACTGCGTGTTCTCTTCTTTATGCAGGTTGCCATATAAGTGAACTCTGTCCGTGCTACTGTGGGTGGCTGGTATTATCCTTTGCTTGTTCGATTGCTGAGGCCGTAGACAGAGACTTTGAGTTGGCAAAAAAAAGAAAAAGAAAAAGAACAGGCGACGCGCCGTGCGAAGTGCCCCTCTGGGGAGCTATAACAGGTCAGACTGACGACAGTCATCAGTCCTTGCAGGTGCTGCTGCCATGGGGGGTAGGTAGTGCTCGAGGTGTCAGCAAGGGCACAGGGAAGGAC